GATTAAAGATTCATAAAACTGATGATTGTTTGTCTTCGACAGGAATCCAATAATGTCTGAAACTTTCTCTTTTCTAACTATATCAAGAATCTTCTAATAGAAAGATTCATCTATATCCTGGATGTAGATTAGCATCTCATAAAGATCTTACTTCATTTAATAAACTTCTTCTTCATCTTCCCTAGAGATAAGATTTATAATGCTTACTTAATTAATGATTGGATCTATTGAATACCTTAGTTAGACTATTCAATAAAAGATGTTATATGTTAGTCCCACCAACTCATGGTCTACTCTAATTCTTTCATTTAAGAACTCTTCTCAGCATTCCAATCGTTTAAAGTTGATCCTTCTACAATGTTTACTAATTTTTCTATATCAGTGTAAGAGGATTCAGCTAGATTTGTCTCTTTATTGATTAGGTTTAAGTATGATTAGTTTTCCTTTTCAATCTAATCGTATACTTATTTGATAGATTGTGACAATTCTTCCCAAATTTTCTTCATCATTTATTCAGTTTGAGTGAGCAAGGCTTTAAAGGCCATTCTTTAGTTAGTTAGTTCAGATATATCATTAAGCTTTGAGTCTTTTAATTTATTGATAGCCTTTTCTTAATATATTTCAATTGGAATGGTATATTTCAAATCCACTCCATGTTCATATTGGCATTTTACACAAAGTTTCCTTTTGCATTAGCACTTGTGAGGAGCCACACATATCAAAGTGATCGGATTTTTAAAATGATGAGTGCAATTTATCATCTTATATTATTAATATTGAATTTCTATTACTCTAACTTTAAGTTATATACTGCAAAATCGCTAAAAGTATCTTGTGCATTTTTGTTAAATAGAAGATAGGACTTTGTTTAGATTTTGAATTGATTGTTATCGATGTCAATGATGCTATCAGAATTCATTCCAACATCTGCAATACTTGATTTTTTTATAATATAGAATATTGTTATTTTATATGAATATTTTCATTTATTCAAAAATTGAGTTTTATGATTAATTTTTCTTGATTATCTTTAATTTTTCATCCATATGTCTTAAGATTGAAATATGTATACTATTGCAAAAGGATTGTTGGATTTTTTATGTTAATGTTATGTAAGATTTTCTATGAATCTCAAAAACTTAGTATTATCCTTCAGATATAGGTTGTCATCTTTCTTTAAGGAACTAATAATATCCTACACATACATCCAAAACACAAATAAAAAAAAAAAAACCCTCCC